TCTTTAGTCTTTAGAAACAACAAACAAACACTTCAAGCTAGAAACAAAACAAAGCAAGAAAGTTTTCATTCTCACTGAGTTTCAAAAAAGTTTGCCAAACCCACCCACCTCTTCCTACTAGAGAGACAGTCTGTGTCTAGACTGGCCAGTTTTTCCGGAAAAGCAGCTGATTTTCCGGGAAAAACTTGCCAGCTGTCTACACTGGCCGCTTGAATTTCCACAAAAGCACTGACTTCCTACTGTAAGAAATCAGTGCTTTTTGCGGAAATACTATGCTGCTCCCGTTTGGGCAAAAGTCTCTTTTGTGCAAAACTTTTGCGCAAGAGGGCCAGTGTAGACAGCTGAGATTTGTTTTGTGCAAAAAAGCCCTGATCGCGAAAATGGCGATCGGGGCTTTTTTGCGCAAAAGCGCGTCTAGATTGGCCATGGACGCTTTTCCACAAAAAGTGCTTTTGCGGAAAAGCGTCCGTGCCAATCTAGATGCTCTTTTCCGAAAATGCTTTTAACGGAAAACTTTTCCGTTAAAAGCATTTCCGGAAAATCATGCCAGTCTAGACGTAGCCTTTGGGAAAAAACTGCAGCCTACAGTCCCTGGCATGATGACCTATCAGCCCCGTGAGGCTGCTGCAGCAACATTAGCTAAACTCCCACTCTCTTGCCTTAGGATAGGCCCTGACCACATTTCTCCTCCTTGCAAAGCAGCTCCCAAACCATCCTGGTCACAATGCTGCAGCCGGAAAATCATGCCAGTCTAGACGTAGCCTTTGGGAAAAAACTGCAGCCTACAGTCCCTGGCATGATGACCTATCAGCCCCGTGAGGCTGCTGCAGCAACATTAGCTAAACTCCCACTCTCTTGCCTTAGGATAGGCCCTGACCACATTTCTCCTCCTTGCAAAGCAGCTCCCAAACCATCCTGGTCACAATGCTGCAGCTTCCCCCCCCCTCCCCCCCCCCCCCCCTCCGACACACTTTATATATGCAGTTGTGTCCTTAGCAGGAATCAGCAGTTAAATTATTCCACTTAAAGTTCTGCAGCCCACACTCCTCTCTGACCTTTTCCTGCTCTCTGCCACTGGTTTGAACTCCTCCATCCCTCTCTGTTTGCCTGGCCGCTTCTCCTGCCTGCCCAGAAGCTCATTACATGACCGCCTCCCTGTGCTCACAGGCACAGCCCTCTGCTGGCCGCACAGGTCCATGTGAGCCTCCCAGCCCCACTCTCCTCGTGCCACAGCTGTGCTGCTCCCTCAGGGGCAGGGAGGGAAGTTCCCCGTGAGCCCCTGGCACAGCAAGTTAGTGCCCACCTCTCCCAGCCCATGGGCTGCCCCACACCCCGTTCCACTCCTGAGCCAGGTGCTGCTGTCTGGCTGGCACCTTCCCAGCCCCGGAAGTGCTGCCTGCCCCCCTGCAGCTAGTGGAGCACCTTGCACAGACTTGGAGCTCGCCAGCAAGTGCCCACCCAACATGGGGCCACCAAAGTCTGAGACCCTGCACTTTCCAGCTGGGCAGCCAAGATTACCTGCCCCCCCAAGTCCCACCTTTGTCTTCTGTCCAGGTAAACAGAGGTGCCTGGGCCCCCTTTCCTCTCTGCCTCTCCTCCATTCTTTTTCGTCCCACTGGCTGGAACCAGCTGTTCAGGTCACCAGGGTCCTCTCTCTGCCCATTGTCCTCCCACTTGTCAGAATCAGCCGTGCCCTCCAAGCTAGGTCTCCTGGTCACTAGATCACCAGTCCCTGGGTATCCATTAGTCAGAGTCCCAAGTTCTCTTGCTGGTGCTCTGTAAAAACAAACTCCCTCTCCCGTCACCTTGTTAAACCAGTAACAGGCAGAGAAACTGAGTCCCATTCCCTCTGCATGCAAACCACTGAGAAAACCAAGAAAATCCCTTTCTTTGTCTCAGCACCTACTAACAGAGTCTGAATCTTTACTGACAAATAAAGAAAAGGTGGGATCAGAGCATATTCTCAACTCCAAGACGCACAACCTTCTGGTCTTCTAACTGCTGATTCTAAGAATCAGTTCCTTTTGCTACTTACTCAGGGGATATGAGCTTCAGCAGTTTTGTCTTCTCCAGGCTGTGGCTATGGAGTGTTGCAAAAGCTCTCAACCTCTGCTTGCTCCTTTCCCAGCACACCTGTGCTGGGTAAGATACAGTTTTGGATCTTAAATGACTGTTTGTGTACTGCGTCTGCAGCAATCAACCAATCAAGCAATCCAAATCTGCTGGCATGAGGAAAGCTTGGGTTCAAAGAAATAAAGTGTCTCATTAGCCTTTCCTGCAAATATTTTAGAAATAAATGAAAGTTAACTTGTCTATTGCCCTTCTTAAGGTAGAAGCACTAAGCTCCTAGTAAAGTTAATGGGAGTTGTGCATGGACATTGAGCAGAGGATATACCCTGAATTGCCTATCTTTTCTGGTTATCCAGATAGCTTTTTCTCTGCAAATCAATGCACTAGAGTCTTGTTGAATCTATAGCCAGACAGGCTAAAAAAATTAATCCAGCAGAGGTCTGAACTGTTCATGCATCTTAATGGGGAATATTATCCATAAAGCCCATTTATAACCATTTAAGTGGAAAATACTATTTAAACAGGTAGCAAAACCAGCCTCCATCTTTAAAATGCATTTTGCGTATCAAGTGGGTACAGCATTAGTCATGACTGTGAGTGTCACTTCACTGAAATCCACAAAACCCTGACAAGATCTAGCTTGTCCTTTTACAGCAATATACACTACTCCTTCTAACCCAGCATCTTAAAGTATCTCATAGATTTTTTTTGGTTAATTCTTATCAAATGTAAAACTTTTACAAGCATTAGAATTTTATGTTTACAGAAAAATGGAAAATATCTTCACAGATTTTTTTCCCTTTTCCCCCATATATTTGGATTGCTTCTTCTCATAAGCTACTGACTTTTCAGCTACAGGCTATAACTTACCCCTGACAACTCTAGTCTCTGTGATAAATTGTTCAAAGTCAGACCTGGGGCTGCCAGTTCCTAGAATATCTGGGTTTTATATCTTCTCTAGGCTCACTTTAATTTAAATAATAAAAAAATGCAATCTGATCCCAAATAGAATTGAACACATTTTACATCACATTGCAGCTTACTTTAGTAAGTACCTGAAAGTGCAACCTCTCATTTTGAAAACAAAACACATGCACCATAAAAATAATGCACCCCATTAGCAACATTTAAAATCTTGCACAATGCAAGTGGTAAGAGTTAATTAGGACTTTTCCGACACTAATGCTATGTAGTAAAATGACAGTGGATTGGCTTTCTCAGTATTTCTATGTCACTGGGAGCATATAATCACTCTGTTACGGTACATCTACACTGCACGCTTATTTCAGTATAAGCAAATTCCCATCGAAATAGTGCTGAGTGATTTCAGAATAGAGCGTCCACATTCATTGGATGCTGAATCGCATTTAAGGCCACCCAGAAGCACTTCAGGCAGAGCATCAAGACATCACTCACTTCCCGTAGTTGCTTCCTAAGGCTATCTGAGGCTCGAGTTTAAAGGGATCCCCCTGGACAGTTGTATCTCAGGCTTCTCTCCTTTGCCTACCTCCTTGAGGGACAGGAAAGTCTTCTCACTGCCTGCTGTGGTTGCCCTTGTGGACACCACAGCACTCCCAGCCATGGAGCCAGACTTGCCTCCAAGCAATCAATGGTTCTTAGATGGATCTTAGACCCCATGCCGCACCTCCTGCTGCAATTTCTGCAGGCTGCCCTCGTGGCCCCACAGGAACAGGTGGGGCACCCTCGACTCATTGTGGGACACCTCCTCTCCTCTCTCCATGCTCTGTTCATGCAGCATGACCCCTCCCACCCTGCCTTTCCCATTGTACCCCACTGCTTCTGGTGACTGGACACCAATTCTGACTGGTGGGACCAGATTATCACGGAGTGGTGGGACGACCAGCAGTGGCTCCAGAATTTCCTCATGTGGAAGGACATTTTCTTTGAGCAGTGTGCCTGGCTCACCCCTGCCCTCTGGTGATGGGACACCCACATGAGACCTGACAGAAGCAGGTCACCATCACTCTGTGGAAACTCACCACACCGGACAGCTACCACTCCGTTGGGAACCAGTTTGGTATTGGGAGATTGGCCGCTGGGGCAGTGCTCATGCAGGTATGGCTCTCTCGTGCTATTGTCCCAGAAGGGTGCTGGAATGGGGTTCCCAAGCAAAAGGGGTGGGGTGGAAGCTCTCTTTCCCCAGAGGTTTTCAAGTTTTGCCTTCAAAAAGCCCTGCCGGGGGATGGAGAAAGTTGGAGTTGGGCCTGGTGTGTTGGGGAAAGGGGCTGAGCTTGGGGACCTCCCAAGGATCCTGGCAACCCTGTGATTCTCTGTTTATCTCTTTCTACAGGTGGTGAGGGCCATCAACACCATCCTGCTGCGCCAGGTTGGCCTTCTGGATGATGTGGATCCCATCATTGCCAGCTTTGCCGCCATGGGCTTCTCCAACTGGAAGGGGGGGGCATTGACAGCACCCTCATTTCCATCCAGGCCCCTGACCACTGGTCATCCAACTACATTAACTGCAAAGGTCCTGCAGGCCTTCATGGACCACCAAGGCCGGTTCACAAACATCAACAGCAAGTGGTCAGGGAAGCCGCGTGATGCCTGCATCTGCCACAATTCCAGCCTCTTTGAGAAGCTGCATACCGGCACTTTTTTTCCCAGCTCGGATAGGCCTTTGAACAGACATGCATGACTGCTATCTGGCACAGAGGGCTTTCCGCATCCAAGAGGCCCTGAGGGAGAGTTTCACACAAGGACCCCAGTGACACTCTCCTCTGGGCTTCCCCATAAGGGGTCTCTGCAGTGCTCCAGTGTGCGTTTCCCCTGCCCTCCCTTCCTTTCTGGATACAATAAAACAGACCTTTTGTTTTTAAAACAAGAAACTCTATATTTTGATGAATTAGGATAAATGTAACTGAGGAAAGAACCTGGGAGGGGGAAGGAGGGAGGAGGAAGAGGGAAGAGGGCGAGGAGAAGCTCAGGGATCAAGCTGGGAGTGGCGCCTGTCTCGGATGGTCCTACCACCATGTGTTCGGGGCGCAGCCATGGGATGGGTTAGGGGGAAAATACAGAAGGACGGGAGCTGGGACAGGAGCAGCCGGCAGGCAGTCAATGGCAATGGTGTATGCTGCACACGTGGTCCGGGGCTGCTGCAAGAGCTCCCGCCAGGTGGTGCGGCGCAGCTCCATGTCCTTGTCAAGAAACTGCTGGAGGCCACACAGGGCAACGATGTGCTACCGCTCCAGCTCCTCACAGGCTCATCTGTGGCAGCATCTTCCACGAGGTTGGGAGGCTGGTGTGGGAGGTGTTGCAGGTGCCTCACTCGCAGCTGGCCCAGCTGTGAAGAACAAAGAGAAGGGTGGTCACCCCAGGAGACAGGGTGCCTGAAGCCTTTACTTCATCTCTGAACCGACACCGCAAGGTCTCAAGTCCCAAAAAGTCTATGTGCTTGGAGCAAGGCCATCAGTGGCCTAGACAGCAGACCCCTTTCTGCAGGGTGGGGCACAGCTGTCCCTGGAGGGAGCCTCACTACCCCCTAAATCCCAGGGACAAGCTGGCATGGGAAGGTGCCAGCTAGGCCAGGAGCCTGCGGGAGGGAGGGGGATGAGGAGGTGGCTGGGCTTCTCTCTGTGACACACACACACTGGCAGGACTAGTAGTGGTGGCATCCCGCAGGAAGAGGACTTGTATCCCTTCCTGCTGGAAGGGGGGAGAGTATTGGGGGCAGCTGTGTGTGAGTGGCAGATGCTGCTTGCCAGGGAGGGTACTGCTGGGGTCCCCTCCACTTCCTCTCCTGCTCAGTAAGCTCCCCCAGCAGGGGCTCAGTGTCCTCCACCTCACTGTTCTTTCCCAAGGGTGGATGCTGCCCCAAGGGTGTGGACATGCCTGTGTGCCATGTGCTGCACTGCTGGGTGTGTGTGTCCCCATGACCCCAGGCTCCTAGGAGGTGACTTTTGGTTTGAGGGTGTCGCACCATGGGTTCAAGACTAAGGCAGACCTGTGCAGGAACCCTGTGAGCAGGAGCACAAGGGTCCTCTCTGGCTGAGTGCTCCGGACTGGTGCTCTTTGTGCACTAACATGCACAGGCTGCTGCGCAATGCCCAGGCCAAGAAGACTGAGCAAGCAGTGTGCAGCCCCTCACTGCTCCCTGCCTCCCCCCAGGTCTGTCTAGGGACAATCATCGAGCTCATCGGGTTGGCCTTCCCCTGCGTCATCTGATCCCTGGGTGACATCCTGGGAGGGAGGTAGCAGCTCTAGGGACAGGGAGAGATCCTGGCTGGTGGGCATCATGAATCCTGAGGCCTGCTCCTCTTCTTCCTTGACTGACCCCCTTCCCCAACTCAGAATGCGGTGGAGATGGTCCTAATATTGGCAGGTCTGCAGTGCCACCCTAGCCTTGGTATAGGCCTGCCTGAGGTCCTTCACTTTCATCCGCACCTGGTCCTGGGTGCGGACATGTCACCTCTGCCCCAGGATGTTGGCCATCCAGCTGCAGATATCAGCATTCCTGTGTCTGGTCTGGAGATCCTGGAGGTTTGTCTCCTCGCCCCAGATCTCAATGAGATCCAGGATCTCTGCGCCAGACTAGGAAGGCGCCTGCCTCTTCCGCCCCTGGGCAGGGGCTTGAGAGCTGCCTGCATCTGTGCTAGCAGCTGTGGGGGGCTCTGGTGCAGTGGTCTGGTCTGCAATAGCAGCAGAGAAGTCAGGGATGGCTGCTGCTGTGTGGCACGGTGCGAGTTGGGCCAGCTGTGTGCCACACACTGTTTCTTCTGCGGCTGCACCTTTAAAGCCTGCAGGGGAAGGGAAACGATAGAGTTCTGATGCGTGAGGACAGAGTGGCTACCAGGGCACCCATGGGAAGCCCTGGAGACTCCTTATTTTGAAATAACCACAACTGCCCTGTCTACACACTCCCTATTCCAAAATAACTGAGCTCCTTCACTTTCACCCACACCTGAGGACGTCAGTGTGTTCTCTCTCTCGCCCACCACCTGAGAGATCAAACAGACCATTAACAAAAGGACTCACCTATCATGGGACATATAAGATGCCCCTGGAAGAGGGTTTATGTTCTTCAGAGAAATGGTTCAAGGGCCCTGAAAACATATGAATAGAAGGGATGCTGAAAGGTCCTGATCAAAGAGGTAATTGCTGTATGCAATGGAAATCACATCAAGCCAGGAGGTGCTTCAGTGCCGCCTCCCCTCACACCACCACATTCCTAGCTCCAGCACCTATGAAGTGACTCTCAGCCTTTCCAGTCTACTGCACCTCTTTCAGGAGCCTGTTTTGTGTTGCATATGCCCACGTTTCGCCTCACTTAAACTACTTGCTTACAAAATCAGACATAAAAATATAAAGGTGTTAGTCTATTACTGAAAAGTTACTGGCTTTCTGATTTTTACCCTATAATTATAACAATGTACTGGAATACAAATGTTATATTTACATTTCAGTGTCTCGTATATAGAGCCGCGTAACCAACTCCTTGTCTGTATGGGTATGTCTACACTACAAAGTTAATTTGAAATAACATCAGTTATTTAGAATTAACTTTAATAGCATCTACACAGGCAAACCACTATTTCGAAATAAATTAGAAATAGCGGAGCCCTTATTTCGAATTTGGTAAACCTCATTCTATGAGGAGTAACACCACATTCAAAATAGCTATTTTGAATGAAGTGCTGTGCAGACACTTAATTCGAAATAGGGGGCCTCCAGCCCTTCCCAGAGAGCCCTGGTGGCCACTCTGGGCACAACCAGGAAAACTTACTCTCCTCTCCCCCAGCCCCAGAGACATTAAAGGGGTAGACCCTGGCCACAGTGACAAAGAGCAGCACCTGCAGGCCCTGTGAGCCCTGAACTGCACCATCCAGGCCTGGATGCAAGAGGACCTGCAGCCCCACTGGGAGCAGCTTGCTCAGGACCGAGCCATGAACTCTAACCTGCAGGCCCTGATGCAGAGCATGCTGCTCTGTGCCGGTCCTGTGCCTGCTGCCTCCACAACTACTGTTCCTCCTCCCACTCCTGCCCCCCTCCCTCCTCTTCTTCCTCAACCTCCACACCCTCCTCCTCAATGTCCACACTCCCCACCTCAACCTCCACAACCTCCTCCCCATTCCCCCAGGGATGCCGAGGCTCCCTCCCCCACCATGCTGGGAGGCGGTTGACCCGGCGAGACCCTCAGCCCTGAGTGCTGAGCTTCCCCTCCCCCTTTTCCCCCCTTCCAGCTCCTTCCTCCCAGGTTTCCCCCTCCCCTCTTCTACCCTCTCTCTTCCCCTCTCCCACCTCCTTTTCCCAGTGTCCCCAGAGGTTCATCTTCCCCCTCCCCCTTTTTGTTCAATAAACCCGGTTTCTATTTTTGAACATACATGTCTTTTATTTGACATCAGGAAGGGGGGCTAGGGAGGGGTAAGTGGAAGAACATGAGGGAGGAATGGGGCACGAGCCCCTGGTGGGGAGGACTGGGGAGACTCTGCGGGCTCCTCGGGGTGGACGCTCTCCCTCAGGGCCTCCTGGATCCTGACAGACCCCACAATGGATCCCCCGGATGGCAGCCTGCAGCAATTGCAGCCGGGCTGATGGCAACGACCCCATGAGATGCACCGGTGTGCCCAGGGGCAACTCTGGCTCCATGTGGCTGAGTGCTGTGGTGTCCCAAGTGCGGGCACTCAGGGCACTCCAAGCCAGGACTGCTTTGCTGTCCCTCATCGAGGTAGACAAGGAAGACGGGAACCCTCAGAACTGTCTGTCCGGGGTGGGGATAGGGTCCCTTTAAGCACGGAGCTCAGTTAGCCTCAGGCAACAGCCCCACACACTAAGTCCTAACTTGATGCCCTGCCAGCACTGGTTCCGGCCAGCCTTAACTTCAGTTCAGGGTCCACTCAGTGTGGACGTGCTATTTCAAAATAGCAAAATGCTATTTCGAAATAGTTTTTGTGTATAGATGCGTTATTTCAAATTAGCTTAATTTGAATTAACTATTTTGAATTAAGTTAATTTGAAATAGTACTGTAGTGTAGACATATCCTATGAGAATGTAGTTAAAATTGACTTCATTAGTTTTTTTATATAGACTGTTTTAAAACGAGGCACATATCTGAATGAGTTGATGTACTACCCCCCCCCCCCCCCCCCCCGGAAGACCTCTGTGTACCTTTGGTTGAGAACCACTACTTCAGAGGGTGCTCATTAACCTGTTAAATTGTTATTACCAAAATTGAATTCATAAGTAATTGTTTCCCGTCATTTCAAGTTGGTTTTCTACCAATGCTGATTCAATTAAAAAAAATCTATCTGGAGAAATCTTTGCTATAACATCTTTTAAATGAACTATTTCAATTTGAAACATTTCATTTTGAATTTTAGTCCAATTTTTTTTTAAAGTTTAAAACTCCACAACCACAAAAAAGATGTTCAACACCCCTCCCCACCATTTTTTTTTTTTTTTTTACTTTTTCAGTTCAGCTTCCAATCTGAAAAATCAATAATTTGAACAGGTCTAATGACAAAACATTCTGGACTAGACTGAGAGGCATCTCAAACCTAAGTCTACCCTGAAGATCCCAAATAATAGCCTATTGGACAATGTAGTTCTTACTATAATATCTGGTACTTCAGAGTCGTGGATTTCACACATGCAAGAATCTCTGATCCCACATTTTTGGCAGCTGGTGATGAGATAACGAGTGTTAAGCACAGTATAAGCAAGAACAAAAATCAGTAAGTTTCATACAGATAAATTCAATGATGGCATGATTAGAGGTATGAGCTATGTGTTGGAGTAAATGCTACTCTCAACTACCCTAGCATAAAACTAAAATTCAGAATTTGGCTCTCTGTAGTGAAATCATTTTTAAAACATTCAGTTATCAAATACCAAAAAAAAAAAAGCATTTATTCAAGCTTTTTGAATTTCTCGGGCTGATGTGACATTTATTATGCTATGTCCCACACACATCTTGCTGCACCTGTTTTTTAATCATACAATGTAGCTAATGCTGCCAAATGAGGATATAGCCAACAAATAAAACAAAGCAACTGAAAGACAGTTTTCCTGCGAAAAAAAACACACCACAAAAATGGTTTTATATATTACGTTTTGGGTTTGGGTTTTTAAAAGACAGAGGGTCAGACTGACTAGGGCAGATTCTATCCTGAGTTACATCTTCACATGCATAACCAGTTATTTCTAGAGATGCTGAGCAGCAAGAGTGCCCGCTGAAGTCAATGGGAGATGTAATCCTGGAATGCTACAGAGAGCATTGGAGTCAATTTGCATATAGGGCTGGATTTGGCTGAAAACATGCATTTGGGTATAAATGGCATAGAAAGATACCTACATTTCTGCATACACGGGGAAGCTGTCACACCTCCCTGCCTCACCTGACTTTCCTCCTTTCACCAAAACATAGGGAGTACGTCTAGACTACAGGCTTCTGTCGACAGAAGTTTTGTCGACAGATACTGTCGACAAAACTTCTGTCAGCAAAGAGCATCTACACTACATTGAGTTCTGTCGACAAAGCAAGCTGCTTTGTCGACATGGTAGTGTAGACGCAAAGGACAGTTTACATGCAATAACACCTTCTGTCGACAGAAACTCTGTCGACAGAAGGCATTATGCCTCGTAAAATGAGGTTTACCAGTGTCGACAAAACTGTTGAGTTCTGTCGACGTTATGTCGACAGAACTCAGCGGTAGTGTGGACGCAGGTATAGTTTTGTCGACAAAAGTCCACTTTTGTTGACAAAACCCTGTAGTCTAGACACACCCAGGATGACCAGCTAGCAAATGTGGAAAATTGGGATAATTTTTTTCCCAGGGGTGAGGAGGTTTTATATAGCTGCCTAGATAAAACAAAGTCTCCAATATTGGGGCATGTGGTCACCGTATCAAAACAGGCTCTGAAGACTACTCCATTCCTATTCAGAGAAATGGGGTGGATGACCTTCTGCTGCTTCAGATGGCTCACTGTCTAGATCTTCAAGGTGTTACGTTTATAAGAAGCACACGGGATCTTTTTCAGGAGAAAAAGCAATATACTGCATTTATTGAAAACACAACATGCAAAGCAACATGCACACAGATGGCCTGACAATCACCAGTATGTCATAGTGGCCAGTTAGGATCAGTCCAAGCTGGGGGACTCCAGTTTCTGCACAGTGTCATTGGCACAGAGTTGAGCTCCAGCAGCTCTGATCTTGGAGCTATATCCTGGAGTTGGCTCCCAAAGAATGTCTTTTTGGGACCCAGTTTATTTAGTGAAACTTAAGTCTTGCTTAGCTTTTCCTTAACCAATTATTTTAATAAAATTTTAGTAACCAATCCTACAATTCTATAACAGAATTATCTATGCAATCATACTCACCATCTTAATTGATGTACACCTAGCAAAATGAATTATACAGCAGACAGAAACAACTGAAAACCAGACAAAGATCATACAAACAAACAATAGGAAATGAGGGCCATAGTCATAAAATGAGAATTTCACAACCCCAACTATTGATAAGGAGTTTCTTGCCTGATGAAATGCTATCAAACTAAGTTAACCATCTTGAGATCTGGTCCTTTGTCTGGTGATAGTGGGTGCCATTTGGACAGAGTCACCTTCTTAACAGTTTGGTATTAGACTGTTAAATGGAATGTAAGTAGGTGACTCCCTGCTTTTCAATTAATGACAGATGCTTCTCTTTCAATCTGGCACAGATAAAGGCTTTAGGCCTTTCAATATGGCTCCAGAAAAAGGCCATATCTTTATTATGGTGCTGGATGGTCCAGTTCATCTCCTTTTCTGGGGACCTCACCAGGCCAGGACACTGCTCTCCCCCAGGTGCTTGGGATCTTCATGACAAAGGTGAGCCAGAGTGCAGCAGGTGAAGTTCCAATTCCACCGTGATGACTGCAATGCTAGCAACATGTTAAGATTTGGGGATACTCTTTGCCCCCGAGCTTAGCCAATAGAAAATGAAAGAAAATGCCTGATTCTCCCTTGATCCTATTGGATGGTTACTTCCCTTTAGGGTTTCTTAGTAACTACCCTTACTCTCCTAAGATGCAGTCACTTTATGCACAGCCACAACAGTGGGAGAGGGCCCATGTGCCTTTCCATGAGCCCTGTGAATGGGAGCACTCTGGCCTCCTGCCCACCAGTGTGACCACTCACAACATCACACTTCTTTTAAGTAAAGAAATGTGAGAATGTGCAAACCACAGTCAGGAGTTTCATTTCCCCAGTTCATCTCAATCTCTTAAAAGCTGAAGAAAGAAAGAAAGAAAGAAAGAAAGAAAGAAAGAAAGAAAGAAAGAAAGAAAGAAAGAAAGAAAGAAAGAAAGAAAGAAAGAAAGAAAGAAAGAAAGAAAGAAAGAAAGAAAGAAAGAAAGAAAGCAAGCTAAAATTGTGGCAGCTTTTTCTGCAAAAATTGGGCCATTTTTAAATGATACTTTTGAGCAAAAAAGTAAATATTAAAAATCTTGAGATTTTATTCCAGGAAAGATAAAATAGGAAGACAAATTACTGAAGCACATAAAAATTCAATTTTTTGTTTATTATGATGCAAAATGGCTTATTTCACAAACAAATTGGGGAAAGATACTCAGATACCAATATGACAGGGCCATAAGTACAAAGATACTATAAACATAAAATGGATTGGTTTAAAAATGCAAATGTTTGAGACATTTGGTGGGAAAATGGACAATTTTCATAACACCAAGTAATATCCTCTGAATTTCAATTTATAGAAATTAAATTAAAGAAAAGTAGAATGATCACCAAATGCAGATGTCCTAACAAACCCATTTACTCTGCAAACAGAATACAATTACTTTTGCATTTAATTTGTGAAATTTGGAGTGGCTGAATTTTGGCTATGGACCAAATCTAAGACTAATAGAGGCTAAGCTTGTAGGTCTTTTTTTTAAGACTCAGTATGTTTAGCAGTGATATCATAATAGTCTGTGCAGTACTCAATCTACTGTAGATTTTACCACAGCTGTCAATAGAGCTCATTCATCATGGACTCAAGATAACTGAAGCACTCCATCTGCTGTATGGCCACTATTATCAACTGTGATACTTGTGTCAGTAACTTACTAAATAATGGTCTGATCCTGCTTCCATGGAAAAATCAATGGTAGAACTCCTATTGTCGTGAGTGGCAGCAATATCGGCCTTAATTCACTAGCTTTTCAATTCTGAAATTGTCAGTGACTGTCAAATACCTAATTTGATATATAAGGTTGATCTCTGACCTGTCTTGATTAGATTTCAGGACTTAGAAGTAAAAATGACACAAAATTCAGCATGGCTTGTCATTAGCACACAGTCTCTGCAAACTAATCCAACCTAGCACTGTTTATTACAAATTTGCAGTAAAGGAAAAGGCAAACAAAATAGAGAAAGATGAAATGTCCTAAAAAAATAAGTTGTGCCATCCACATAGGCAATAGAAAAAGAATTCATAAGTTGGGTGTTCAATTTAAAGCAACAACAATATAAATGAACAATACTAGTAATAGTGCCTACTTTTTATATAGCCCTTTTCATCAGTAGATTTCAAAATTCTTTATACAGGAGACCATGTGTTATGATTTTTTTTTATCCAGTAGAATTCCTTCACTTGCAAGTTCCTTTCTCCTCGATTTCTAACTTTTTACACAAAGCCTTTTTTTGTCATCATTAACTTTTTTCAGGAAAAGCACGAGCTTTCTGAAAAGTAAAACAATAGCAACAGGGGTAATTTTTAACATTTTTGTTGCCCTCCCATGTAAGGGTTCACATCAGAATCTTAGAACTTGAACTTGGCATTCAGGTTCAAATCCAGATAGCTGCTCAGACCCCATGTCTACTCTGTCTTTGGCGCTCATTGACCTTAATTGGCATCCTTAACTGGAAGCATTTTTTTCTATTCCAGTGAAGACTGTCACAGAGTAGAGTAGACAGCCCCTCCAGTACCACTCTCTGCCACCTGTTTTCCCAGACTTTACTTTTGTATTTTCCTTCTCAAAATTTAAAATAAAGGCCATTCTGATGTAATGTATCTGTTTGCTCTTGTATATGCAACACTAGCCAACTCAAAAATTCTAAGAGATGATCCTTTCTTATGGTGTTCAGCAATTCCAGTCTCAGCTAAAAACCCCAAAGTGCCAAATGTGCAGAGAGAAAATTGAATCTCAAAAAGAAACACACCTTAGTTCCAGTTTTAGCCAGAGGCTCATGTTGATTCATAATTTTATCCAGACAGATCTTTACATCTGTAAGTCAAACACATGGGCTACATCTACATTGGCAAGATTTTGCGCAAATACTCCTTAACGCAAGAGTTTTTGCGTTAGAGTATTTGCACAAAAGAGTGTCTACACTGGCATGTGCTTTTGCACAAGAGATGTGCTTTTGCGCAAAAGCATTCGTGCCAGTGTAGACACTCTCTTGCACAAGAAAGCTCTGATGGCCATTTTAACCACTGGGCTTTCTTGCACAAGAAATTCATGTTGCCTGTCTACATGGCAAGAACACTTGCGTAAGAGGGCTTATTCCTGAGCGGGAGAGTCATAGTTCTTGCGCAAGAAGCACTGATTTCTTACATTAGAACGTCAGTGTTCTTGTGCAAGAACTCGTGGCCAGTGTAGACAGGCAGCAAGTTTTTGGGCAAAAGCAGCTTCTTTTG